TCCTCCTCCTCCTCCTCCTCCTCCTCCTCCCTTCCTTCCTTCCTTCCTTCCTTCCTTCCTTCCTTCCTTCTAGCACTGATGACGTTCCTTAGTTGGGTGATGAGACGTCTGCAAGGAAACCACCAAGCTCAGAGAGCACCCAGGACCCCATAATCGTTCTCCCCCTCCTCCTCCTCCTCCTCCTCCTCCTCCTCCTCTTCCTCCTCTCCACAAACCCCACCCCCTTCTAGCACTGATGGCGTTATCTAGTTTGGTAATGAAACGTCTGCAAGGAAACCACCAACCTCAGAGAGCACCAAGGACCCCTTACTTTTCTTCCTCCTCCTCCTCCTCCTCCTCCTCCTCTCCACAAACCCCACTCCCTTCTAGCACTGATAGCATCACCTAGTTTGGTAATGAAACGTCTGCAAAAAAACCCACCAAGCTCAGAGACCCCAAAGGACCCCACCTCCTACGAAATGACGGCGCTCCTGTATACATCTCCCACTTTTTCGTGCATAACCCCAGCACAGCTAGGCAAACCAGAGAGTCAAAGGGGCGGGCATTCTCCCCATCCCTGCAGGCTCCCCAACTTCCATTTCATTTTCCCGGGGGTAATTAGGAGATTCCCCCCCCCCCAAATTGGCCTTTAGATTAGCAGGATGCTGCCGTTAAAGACGCAACTAAAACCAGCGGGTGATTGGAACACGGCTAAAAAGTCAGGCTTCCTCCCAATTATTAGCCTCTGCCTGCTTTTTACACCTTTGCTCTTTGCTATATAGTTAGAAATTCATCTGACTCGGAAAGAGGAAAGACTGCTGGAAAAGGACTTTATTTACGAGCAAGTTTCTCGGATGACGGAGAAAGTCAGCGTCAAGGCAGAAAACAGCAAGGAGGAGACGTTAATCCTGGCTAAAAAGGTAGCGCGGTTGTGGTTTGGTTTGACGATGTCAATTCTGTGTGCAGGTAGACCACCATTGTCCCAACTGGGACCTTTGTTAAGCCAGTTTTGCTCCATTTTACGAACTTTCTTGCGCAGAGTCGCGAAGTGGAATCGCCGCACTTGATAAGTTAGTAACCCGTTTGTCCAGTGAATCTGGCATCCCCGTTGACTTTGCTTGTCAGGTTGCTAAAGGCAACCGTCGTAAATATGAAGCAGTCGCCAAGCGTCCGAATTTTGATCACGTAAATGGTCTTAGGCGTGAAAAACGGTCATCAGTAGCTTTTGTCACTGCCGTCGTAACTTTGAACGGTCACTAAAAAAAGGACGACTATAAACCCAGTTTAGGCTTTTGGTGGCAACGGCAAGCAGGAGGTTTTCAAAAATAGACTGGGCCACCATTCAACTGGGATGATACAAGGTGGCCAGCTTTGAGCAGGGTGTGTGTGTGGCGGGTTGGACTAGAACAGAGTTCTCCAACCTTTCCGGGTTCGCGGCCCGGAGGGAGAGCAGCTTCCAAATTACTTCGTGCCCACACGTGTGCAAGAACACAAACAGGGTCACGCCCACTGGCGCAGTACTAGTGGCCGTGTTTGTGCGTGTGGCATGCGGTGGCACCATGCGTGAATGGCTGTGCACCTCCGCGGCAGTTAGCACCCATTTGTACATTGCAAATGGGCCACGCACACACCCCGTGCTAGCGGCCCATTCGTGCATGCACAAATGGGGCGCACACGCCCCTCACGCTAGGGTTCCACCGTGGCAGCTAGCGCCCGTTTGTGCATTGCAAATAGGCCACGTACACACCCACACCCGTGCTAACGGCCCGTTGGTGCATGCACAAATGGGACGCACACGCCCCCCATGCTAGGGTTCCCGTTCGCGCATGTGCAAACAGGGCCTTGGGCGCTAGCACGAGTTGGGGGCAGAATGCGTGCCCACGCGTGCACTCCTTGGCCAGCCATTTCTGCGGCCCATGGGCCAGTACCGGGCCACGGCCCATAGGTTGGGGACCCCTGGACTAGAGGACCTCCGAGATTCCTTCCTGCCGTAGGATTCTATGCTCTTTTCTCCTGCGATTCCTTCCAGATGAACGTGCTTCAAGAGAAAATAAAGAGCACCACCCAGAAGATAATGGCCCTCATCGCAGAGCTGTCCATGCACCAGGCAGTGGCCATTAACCTGCAGCAAGAGATGCGGGACAAAGAGCAGACTGTGCTGTCCGTGGTCTCCCGACTGGCCAAAGGTCTTCCTCCTCCTAGGGACATTGAACAGGATTGGCTCCGGGTCCTGCGGGATGAAAAAATGCATCAAATAGCAAGTGAAGCACGAGAAAAAGTGAGCCTTCTCAACGGGTTTTCTCAGAACATCGATATTTTTGAGGAAGCAGCTTTGGTCAGTGGGCAAAGCAGTGTAGAGTCTGTAAAAATGACCCGAGTCCTGGAACATCATGAGAAGATGGTGGTCAAGAGCTGGGGAAATCAGAAGATCCAGGCAGTTCAAATGGGGATAAAGGTTTAGGGCTACTAACGGTCAAGGGAAATTGGCAGTAGATAAGAGTCAGTGGAATAGAACAGTGGTGGCGAACCTATGGCATGGGTGCTAGAGGCGGCATTCGAAGCCCTCGCTGTGGGCACACGTGCCGTTGCCCCAGCCGTGCCTCCCCCCGTGACCCCCTCACCAGCAGCCCCCTGGATGAGAGTCTCCCCCAAGCGTGGCCCACGCGGAGCAGTGCAGCCAAGGACATGGCAGCCAGACAGTGTAGACAAGACTCTGCCCTCATGCCCCATCATACACAGTTGATGCTGCGGGGCGCGGGCAGAAGGCATGGCCGCCATGGCGCTGCTGGGCGATATGCGGCAGGCCCTGGAGGTGGTGATTGGTGCTGCGGGCAGGCAGGGTGGGGGCGGGGTGAGGGCGGGGCAGGGGGCGGAGCAGGGACGGGGTCAGTTTTTGGGCACTCAGTCTCTAAAAGGTTCACCATCACTGGAATAGAAGGTGGACTGGACTTAGGTCTCTTGTGGGTGTGAAGGCATAGTGGTTAGAATGCAGTATTGCCAGCTAACTTTGCCCACTGCCAGGAGTTCGATCCTGACTCAGCCTTCCATCCTTCCGAGGTTGGTAAAATGAGGACCCGGATTGTTGGGAGCGATGTGCTGACTCTGTAAACCGCTTAGAGAGGGCTGTAAAGCACGGTGAAGCGCTATATAAGTCTAAGTGTTATTGCTATACAACTGCTCTGAAGTCAGACAGCACAGAGGGACTCCCTTCTAGTACAGAGGTCTCCAACCTTTCTCGGTTGGAGGACCGGAGGGAAAGGGAGAGGGGAAGCATTTTACACGCACGCGCAGGTGCACACGCAAATGCTACGCTTGCATAGCAGCATCGGTGCGGGCGCAAGTGGGGGTGCGAGCGCCTGCTCACATGGGCATGTGCTGGCCAGCCTGTTCCGCGGCCAGCAGGCCACAGGTTGGGGACCCCTGTTTTAGCAGGACAATTGTCAGAGCAGGCACAGTCTTATTGCGCTGAGATAACCCAGGAGTAAACACAGTAAACAGTGGTCTATATTAAATGGTGGTTTATCTTACACTATGTACAACATCAGGAACAATATACATACACGTGGTAATACAGCAGTCTTCAACACACAGCAGTTACAGCAGGAATACAGGAGAGAAAACATCTTCCCTTTTATACAAGGCTCTTAAAGAGACACAGACCCTGCTGAGTCATTCCCATCATTACAGCATACATTACATCAGCTGGTTTAGCTTTGGAATCATTACCTTGACCTCGATGCACCTTAGCCAGCAGCTCAGAATAAATTTAACGCTGACCCCCATATTCTGTTCCTCCAGCAGGCTCTGGAAGAAGAACAGGCAGCCCTGCCCACCGCCATCCACACGACGGCGGAACAGCGTCCCAACGCCTACATCCCCGATGACGAAAACGTTCTCCCGCTACCGAGGCCTTACGGGGCGCTGGCGCCGTTCAAACCCAGCGAGCCCAGCGCGAACATGAGACACCTCAGGAAGCCAATCGTGAAGCCCATCGAAATCTGAGTGACTCAACTTTTGTGGAAGGAGAAAACTGCTGGCTGAGGAGAAATGCTCCACTTTTTGACTCGACAAAAGGGAGTTCCTTCGGAGTACAAGAGGCGGGCGTGAAAATGTGTGGCTTCAGAGCTGCGGGAATGTTTTTGCCTTCTTGAAACTTCCTGACTTCTGATGAAATAAATGTTTGAAAATATATCTATATCTATATCTGTATATTTAGATTTTGCTGACAAAGAGTTAAAGGGAGACGAGTATAGCTATTTCGAGCTATTTAGCTCTCATCAGCTAGCCATACCCTTTCGAGATTCGAACCTGGGCCGCTTGCACTTTAGGCAGCTGTATTAACCGCTAGGCCACAGGTTCTCCTCACTTCTGTCAGCTGATACACACACACACACACACACACACACACACACACATGAATGCTCGCCGTTTCTTCTGGTATGGCAAAATGCTGTCGTCATTTACTACACTTTTCTTCGCTTGGAATGAAAACATTTAAGGCAATATTTGGAAGCCCCAGCTGTCGTAAAGTAGAAGCTTCCATCGCGCTACGTTTTGTTTAATACATACTTTTATTAATTCAATGGGAAGGTGTTGGATCAGGATAGGGAGATCCGGGTTCAAGTCCTTCCACATCCAGGAGGTTAAGTGGATTATTTGGGGCCCCCTCTCTTGCTCAGAGCCCAACCAAGCTCAGGGATTGTTGGGGGGATAAAATGAGGAGGGGGGGGTGAGGGGCTGCTATGAACATCGCCTTGAGCTTCTGAACAAAAAAAAGCTGGATCAAAATCTAATAAATCAGTAGCACAAGCAAAAACCAGTTCTGGAGAAACAGATTTCAACTGTATTTATGCACAGTTAATTCGTTCAGTCCTGTTTGGACACTGGAACCATGGTTTTGACCCTTACTACACGTGCAAGCTCTTGAGTAAAAAGGTTTTCTACCACAAGAAGGAAAAGCTAAACAAGGAAACGAAAAGATCAGAACAGCAGCAAATCAACACTCCGATAAACAGGGATTAATACCTATTTATCAGGCAAACAAGCAAGCAGTAAACAACACCCTAATCAAGGAATTGCCAGCTCAAACAAACAAGCATTTAAACAACACACTCCTACCAACACTGCACATGAAAAGAGGGTGGGCCTTTAAGCCCAAGCCTTTTCTGTGGTTTGGGATGCCATCTTGATTTTTTTTGCTGCCTGCAGAAAGCCGTTCTTGCAGTACATTTAAACGATTAGAAAATGCACGCAAAGTCTACGACATCGATGCAATAAAGACATCAGAAGCCCAGTTCCAAATCTATACATTTATTTCCATTTACATCCAAGTTCTGGTTTCTCAATTGCAATATT